GATCATCTTCTATCTATCTATATAAATAAAAATGTAATGTTCGTTTGTTCCTACCGATTCCTTTGAAATTTTGACACAACGCTGCATTCGAATACGCACGTGTTTTTATACAATATACGTGTCGAACTTCCCCCCACTGAAGGGAGATGGTTAGGATTAAGGCTTACCGTAAAGAACTCTGCTTCTATTTATACTATTTTAGATGCGATTTTTTGCGTTTTAATAGGGTACGTCAACAGAATGTACACTAAGAAGAAATTTTGGGAAAAATTCCCCCCCATGGGGAAGTGTTATAAATTTATAATAGATACATTTTGAGCCACAACAACGCGTGGCGGGGTCTGCTAGTAAATTATAAAGGTACACAAAACAATGTGCTGTGAGTACAAATATGCCATAGTTTATATTATAAAATATAAATAATAAAAAAATAAAAATAAATATATAATGGTTTTGCCAAAAGGTTCGACACGTGGGTTATATAGGCTAATTATTATATCATTACTTGATATCTAAAATCAAGATACAAATAAGATAACTAAGAAATTCAGTCTATGTATCTGACATACGAAGATGAAAAGACAATTATATCTGTCAAACTCTTTCAGATAGTCATAGTTAAAAATATGTTTATTTTTAGTTGTTTGTAAACTGTCATAAATTCTTTCATCCATATTTAAAGAAAATTTTGATCTTTGATCTTCTAGTTCAATTAAGACCCTCAAACATGGCACCGCCATACTTCACTTGTTGTCTTAGCAAAAAGCTAGCACTCCTGAACCTCGCTAATAAAATTTAGTAAGCATTTTGAGATGGTGTTGCAAGCGAGCTAAAATATGAAACGAGTTTTATCACTGCACTGATGTCTCACTGAATAACTGAAAACATGGTTTCAGTTGATAAGGCATTTTCAGGAGTCAAAAATTAATACAGTAATACCCCAAACTTACGCGATAGGTGGGACCGAGCGATAACCGCGTAAGTCGAATTCGCGTAAGTCGGGGTATAATTTCGCAATTTGTGTAAAATCCAAGTTGGATGTATGTAAGCTAATAAATGTTCTCGTTAACCTTATCTCGTCTTTCGATTCATTCACGGTTACAAGAAATCACCACATAGAGTCTCTCGAGTCTCCGTAGATATAACAAACACAGAAATAAATAACACAAAATAAATTGTAGCTATGTGTCGATTCTGCGCGGCACGTCCGAACATGAAAGCTGAACAATAGTGTGGAGGGAGTGAGTAATCAACAGTTGCGTGGTGCTCAAACAAAAGATGAATCGACAAGATTTGAAAATCGCGTAACTCTGGGTTCGCGTAAGTCGGGGTAGCGTAAGTCGAGGTATTACTGTATTCAGAATGATGTAAATTTGCACACACTATTAAGTACTGGGCTTGGATGTCACGCCAACAGTTATCTCAATCAAAACTTCTTCCAAAACTTCAAACTATGAGGTGTTAAATATAATTAAAAATATTTTAATCTTGCGAGCGCTTTCGACGTAAATATGCACGTCATCTTCAGGCAATTCGATTTTGAATTGCCTGAAGACGAGAGGTGACCGCTAGGGGTCAGAAGTGCTATGCTGTGTCTTACATGTGCTCCGGATTTGATCGTCATTTTTTTAAATACCAAGTGGATTATTGCGGAGTATAACACATCGTTGGTGTCAGGAAGACAAGCGCTCCCCGTAGGTACTAGTATCTTTTAATTTGGTGGACTTTTGCCTGGATTATTAGAGCCCGAACTTTCGGTCTTTTGCACCATCTCCCACATGCTCGGATTGCCTTTTCTATTTCATTCTTCGTCAGCGGTTATTTCCTACGTAGTGCTATTATANAATATATTTAAAATTTAGAATTTTCTGATATAATCTCAACATATCTTACCTACTATACTTAGATTTAATGTATGAATAATGTATTCAGCCTCAGTTGTTCCTGCTTCACTGTGAGCTGTAACGCGCAAAACATATTCTCTTCCAGGTACCAAATGTCTGATTTCAAAATATTGTTGTTGAGCAGATATTCTCTCCGCTATTTGCTTCCATTGTCTCTGAAATTTGGGACGATATAGGACGGAAAAATATTGTATGGGGCAACCACCACTCTGCCAGGACTGCAAGTGAAGAATGACGAATGTAGTGTTAATGGACAAAAATACTTCTTTCTGCGGTGATACTGGGGCTTTATCAAAATAAAAAACAATTACGTATCATACAAAATATCAAAAACATCATATAAATTTCATTTTAAAAAATGTTAACTTTGTTACATGAAATCAAAATATGTTGTAAATTTTTAAATTATTTTAATGTTTCAAAAATTGAAAGAAAGAAAAATAACATAACAATTATGAAATTTCATTCTCTAAATTCTTAAACATTTCGAGTTCTTTATTACATGTGTAGCTATACTTTCTAATCAAAGTATCGATTCTTAGATTACAAACTAGACTTAATGATGACAACAACTAATGATCATCCCATTAGACACATTCTTAACTTACCTGCACCTTTAGTTCTTATACTAATTGAATCACTTGGTTCTCCAGTTCCTAAACTATTAGATGCTGTCATGTGTAGCCGATAACGAGTTCCACATTTGAGCCCTTTCAAAGTAAAGTGGTTGGAGCTTGTACTAAGTTTTTGTTGTTGCCATTCTCCATTATCCGATTTATAATGTAGTATATAATCTGTAAAAATATTATTGTTGATTCAATTTTGTTTGTATTATGATAAATAATTTGAAATTATCTTTCTACAAATAAAATTCTATAAGTCGATCAAATTAAAATATATATATATAGCCTATATCTATTCATTGTAAACAATAGACAGACATTCTGATCTTAATTGATTTATGCTTTGCTGACTGCAAGATTTAATTATTCTGAAGTATTCGCAAGTTTTCGAAGGTTTAATGTTATTATACACAATTACTCAACTAATGATTACCTCTAATCCCAGTATCATCTTGTGGTCTTTCCCATTGTACACTAATTGAGTAAGTTGTTGTCGAGCTGGCTACTAGCACTGGAGATGTTGGAGGTGCTATAAAATTAAATTAAGTTTAGAAGACAAGTACCTTCAATAGGTAAACATTTTGACAGATACTTTTTAAATGCCTAAAAATTCTCCCAAAGTTGATAAGAGTATAATTAATCATACATAAGAATGACTAAAAAACTAATGGAATATTATTATTAGTTATTTCTTTACCTTCATGTTTGCATATAAAATCAAAATTAAATCCAAATAAATCTTTACCTGCTTCGAAAGTTGTAGCATAAACTTCATCTGATCTTGGTCCGGCTCCAACGTTATTATACGCTTGAACTATAACTATGTATTTAGTGAGTCTTTTTAAATTAGTTAAATAAGTTGTTTCTTCTGTCATTCCTTCAGTTGCTTCCACATTTTTATATTGATAAGAATCACTAGAGTCAAATATTTTGTATCCAATGTAATAACCTTGTATAACGCTATATTGTAGCTCTTTTCTAGGTGGCTAAAAGTTATACAAATAAAAATAAGAGTTGTAAAGATAAACAATCTTGAATATTTAAATAAAAAACTAAAATAAAGTAAGATATTGTTTTAAATATTGGATAAGTTACCTTCCAAGTCACTTTTAACGATTGAGATCCAGTTGCTTGTACTTTTACTTCTAAAGGGGGACCACCAGGAACTAAAAAAATTAATGTGTATATTATGTAAATAATTACGTAGATACTAGCATTAATAATAAATAAATATATATATAAACATTACAATTAAATCAAAAAATTATATTATAAAACATTAACAACGGTCATATAATGTATGCTTTATATTTTTTATATATAAATAATTTTAAAACATTTTCTTAAGTTTTTTACAGTCCGTAGCAGAATTTAGCGGAAAGATATGTCACAAAGGAAGTTATGCGTTGTACAAAGACAGAAATACTTCGCAACTACTTGAGAATTAATTCCGTAGAAGTGTTCGATGCTGCAGAAAGCAATGGACAAATTGCAGGACGATAGAATCGATTTCATGAATGATCGGAAGGAAGGAAGGAAGTCTTTATTGTACCACATTGAAGGAAATACGACATATTCATTATGCAGAATAGAGACAATGTATCTCACGATTTAACGAAATGATTTCGTCAAAGAACAAATAAATTAGGATGTTTCTCTCGAAGAAATTATACTATGATTTTTTTTTAAATTCTAGTATGTATAAATTCTAGTATGTATGTGTGACAGATATTTCCTTATGTTTTATATCTATTTTTCTGTAGTATCATCTCACAGTTGCTGAGTCAAACAAAAGGAGGAGCTACAACTGGAACTACACTTGTTTTAACTTTAGAGTAGTATTTAATGGTATTATTATCCCAAGATTCCGTATTTCGTACAGAGGAAAAGTGCTAAGTTTCAATGAAATTAAAATCCTGTTACTGATACATCAAAATAAAGATCCGCCTAGAAACATCTTTACTCGGTTAGGTGGAAAGCAAAAGTGGTTTATAAATGCATTCGGCAATTTTAAATCAGATGAATGATTTTAGAAACATTAGTGAGGTGATAACTCCAAATCACATTGCAGTAAAAGAACCAACAGAGCAGAACGAACTCTACTATTTTAAATGAAATCTAAGAGGGAGACATTTCATTGACTATCGATGGTATGAAACCAAAATTGGAAGCTCACAATATAAGGAAAAGTAGCAGCTCGATTTGCAAATATCTGAAGGCAGTTAACATCATCCGAAAGAGAAGAAAGCTCGATTCTATAATAATAAACGAGTGTGTTACGCAAGAGCATCAGCGATACGTAAAATTTGGCATTATTGATTTTTAAAAAGACATATAAATCTGCACACCCGCTGACATTATGGATATTCATCTGAAGATAAATTATATGCTTCTCAATAAAGGGAAGAATATAAAGTCTAGTAACTATTGATATTTTGACCTCACCAGAATTATGAAACGAAATGCTGGAAAGGTTTGTATAATTTAGAACTATTTATATCATTTCTACGTGAACATTGTAACAATCTAAAGAATTTCAATTTTTGGGATTCTGTTTAATAAGGAAAGAGTTCATAAATTACAAAAACCAAAGCTCGCCATAGGTGATCCATGAAGGAGAATTTTTATCCTCATTCAAAAACAAATACCAAATGTGACATCTAAACCTACAATAACTGATGAATTGCTATGTATCATTGACTATCATTAATACAATGGATTCGGAAGTTGACTCCATCGTTTTTACCGGCTTATGATAGCTCCTAACAGCATTTAACTTCATCGAACACTAACTGCTGAAATCTTATTTCTGTATCAGTTCCTCTGTCAGAGTTATAAGTATCCATTGTAACCTATAATTGCCTGTAATATGAAAGATATTGTAATTTTTCGAGTTAAAAACGATACTGAATAGTATTTTCTAAGTTATATTATTTACATAATTATATCTTTTCCCAGGATTATTCACATATTAACACTGTAATGACCATACAAAAAATTGGGATAATTCAATCTTTTTTCTATATTTCACCAGAGAGCAACAATATACAACACGAAGATAAAACATAAATCTTCTTTAAAATGATTGACAAGTTACCGCTAAAAACATACGTGTAAAGACGCCGACCTGTCTTTGTAGGATCCGACGTCAATGATTTCAAACAGAACTAAAACTTTTTCAATATCAGCGAAATCCTATTGTATTTATAGATGAAACAACTGTAAAGTCCTATGATGGAAAATCGAGGTACTCAGCAATTTTTGCATAATTATATCTTTTCCCAGAATTATATAGACTATATATTAAAAGATATTAACAAGATCGGCATTGAGTGTTTTAAACGTACGTGTTTTTAACGGTCATTTTAAAGAAGATATATATTTTATCTTCGTGTTGTATATTGTTGGTCTCTGGTGAAATATAGAAAAAAGATTGAATTGGCCCAAAAATTTTTTTGTATGATCATTACAGTGTTTATATTATTTAGTGAGAATTATTTCTTACAAATATTTAGATAACGCAACAGATTTAAAAAAAAATCATAAATAATTTTCGTGAGAGCAACATACTAATCTGTCCGTACTTTGACGAAATCATTCCATTAAATTATGAGATAACTCATCCCTATTCTATTTGCGTAATGAGTAGACTATTATTTCCTGCAATTCGTACGGAATTGCAGGAAATAATAATCTACTCATTAAAGGTAAAATTCTTTCGATCATTCCTGCAATCGGTTCGATAGATTTTGCAGAGTCTTCGTGTTCGTGAAATTTAACCATTGCTTTAAGCAAAGCAGCTTCGAACACTTCTACACAATTAAACTGCAAATAGTTACAAAGCGTTTCTGTATTTGTGCAACGCGTAGCTTCCTATGAGATATCCTTTCCGCTAAGCACTGCCGCTCAGAATAAATTAGCTTATTAATTTTAATACATCGCGATATTTACTAAATGCATATAGAAGACATTTATCTATAAATTGAAGATAAATACAGTCGAAATTAAGAAAATATTTATGTCCAATTATTTATGTCCAATTATCTGACGAATAATTAACATTTTGAAGCTCATCCGAGTATATAATAAATAAAAGCTATAGTGTACAGCCTAAATAAGATGAAATTTCTATAGTCGAAACATTAAATAGTTTCTTCTAGTTAGATTTATTATTGTTATTTATAAATAATAAATTATCTAAAATCAAAATAATTTATAATTGTAAATAGAAGTGAAAAAATACAGTGGTGCCTCGTACTTCGAATTTAATTCATTCCATGTTCGAAGTCCGAAGCAATTTTTCCCATTAGAATTTAATCCATTTCAACTCTAAACAAAACCCATGTCGATAAAACTTAAAACAGCAAATACACAAAAATACACATAAGTTAAGGTAAAAATAGCACAATTAAATGCCATAATTAATAAATTTAAACACGAAAATAATAAAATACGCAAATATCTTATAATGAAATGAAAATTGTATTTATCAGTCACACACCGTCGACTTCGGCCTCTTAAAGATAGCCGCCATCTTAAAAAAAGGTAAAACGGAAGGTGACGTGAAGCGTATACGGGATTCGCTACATACATATCCCTTACACACTTCACAACAAGTTTTTTCTTCATCGTAATCATCGATATTAAAACTTTCCTCTTAGACTTCACACTTCTCAGATGCCACGGTTAATAAGTAATGGTTATATAGAGTGAACGTATTTTAAGCAGCAGTTAATATAGCTGTGTAGTTTAATTACAACAGTTGTGAAATTGAACATATTATTGCTAATGTGAAATCATATTCTTCGCTTAGAAGCTATTTTGAACTTTTTATTTCATGTTTTGTTTGAAGAAAATCGAGTCGTAATGTCTTATTTAGCATATTATGCTTTTTGAGTTTCCGAAAAAATACAACGTCGTACAAACAGTAAAAAAATATCCGTAATGTGTATGGAGAAGATGCTCCTAAACTTCGAACGTATCAAATACAGCATGAAACGTTCCATTCGAAATTTTGAACTAAAGAATAGAAAACGTACTGAGCACACAAAGCCGTCGACGAAGAAAAATTGCGGAAAGAAATTGTTAAAAAATCTACGAATCACACACGATATAATCAAACATACCAAAATTAAAGCGAAAAAAATACCGAAAACATAAGAACTTAACGCGAGAGTGTAAGCCAGAGGAGACCACTTTGATGCTCCTACTGGTACGAAGTGCGTGATACCACTGTATTTAATCCGTAAAGATCCCATGAATCCACAACAAGCAGCACATTTTAACTCATCACAGAACTTTTTAAAATAAAAATAGCAATTTTCGGAATTTCCAACCATTATACAGTGAAACTTTGATAAGTCGAACTACATTAACTCGAAGTTGTCTACAGGTCCCGGGCATAGTATATAGTGTTTTTCGTGTAATACGGTTTCGTCAAGTCAAAATTATTGGTACTTTTAACTATAACCTATTATTCTGTGTACCCTTTGATAGGTCCGTGATCTTTATTTTCTCTTATATTCCATTCCTTATGAATAAGAAGATTAGGTTAAACAAACACTATGGTTCCATGCGGAACACAACACCAAGCCATTACAAGCTCGCGTCAACATCCTTTTACTGACCCAACGTTCTGATTGAAACACGAGACGCTTTGACAACGCACTTAAAAGTGCCATAAATTGTATAGAATTTTGTAATCATTCTGTGAACAGATTCTTGAGAAAGGGCTTGATGACGGAAAATTTACGGCCACAGAAGAAAATCGAGTATTAAATTCGTTAACTCGAAACAAGTGGAATTTGAGACTTTTTATCCCTTATAATTCGACTTAACATGGTTTTGCTGTATATATACATTGGTACTAACTTAAAACTACATTAAAAATATTCAATAAACTGTGCTTTTTAAGTATTTAATAGTGTTCTTATTGTAGTTTAGGTGTAGTAGAGTGTAGCGTATTTTTGGAAAGGAAACGTTGTACAAATTCATAGTTATACTTTGTATTCTCTACTTAAAATTATAAATATGAGATATTTAATTAATTAATTATATAAGTTGTTTTTTCATTATATTTAACACTTTATATTAAATACAAACTTGTAAATAAATTAGTTTTTAAATAAATAAATAAAATGTAGAGAATATATTTAAACTAAATTATGATTACCTTTACTCCATTAATGAAAATTAATAGTGAATTTTTCAATTTAAAAATGCAATATTTAGAAAATAATATACTTTTTGATGATAATTTTGCTTTATTTTTGTTTATGAACATGTTTATGTCATATTTTTGACAGATATTTTTAAAATAATTCTTATAATTAGCATTTTTTTTCATTTCTTCTTAAGCACGAAAAGAGGCAAATTATTATATTTAGCAAATTATCAGCATTTATTCATGCAAATAATTTGCTAGATATGTATGTCTGCTTTCGTGCATGACGAACCACATTATCATTAAACAGAGTAAATTACCTTATACATGAAACGGTGATATTACATTGATACTCGGTAAATGATAATTGTTAATTTAGCAAAAACTTGTCAGATGACTTCGAAATTATCATTCTGTAAAAGATTTATCATTATATTATTCGACAGCTTTCTTGTAAAATGTTTGAATAAAATTTTATATCCCATTTCAAAAGTGTTATTGAGAAAATTTAAATATCTGTTCGTTCAGTTAACTTTAGAGAATTAAATGACTTTTGCTAACTTTTAAACTTTTAAAAAACACTTATTTTATTACACTATTGAACCTATTAATTAATAATAATTAAAGAAAAGCGTTTAAATACTGTACTTTTGATTTTCTCTTAACAAAGCTAAAATTTCTAAAATAAAGTATAATATTCAGAAATATTTATAAGTTTTTCTTGAATGTAGAAACAAATTCTTAAATTTTACAAATAGGAGCATTTGTAATACAAGATTCCCAACATGCTGTCTTGTCAAATAATTCTTATAATCCATTTTCATTTACTGTTAATATCAGTTCTTCAAATTTATTATCTCTCCCTTCTCCAGAAATAGTCTATTCAGTATTGATAAAGATTGATTGCTATGCAGCCTAGTGCTGTCCATATTCCTTATATACCTGCTTTCTACACTATGAAGAGGGATTGTCATCTGCTTACTATGATTTTCAGAATAGTAATCTATTATCCTATAATTTCATTCTTTAAACTTATAGAAATTTTAATTTAAATAAAAATAGTGCAGATAATGTATTATTTTTTATAATAATACACTCATTGTAGTTAATTAGTAGAATTAACAATTTCACTACCTTCTTCATCAGTGGTTCCAGTGACAGCTTCACTAGGTTCACTCAATCCTAAGTTATTTTCAGCAATTACACGTAAGTTATAAGTAGTTGAAGGGATTAAACTTCTAATTGTGGCCGAGTGATCTCCTCCACTCACCGATAATTTCTGCACAGGATCTTGCCAACTGGCTAAAACGATATAAAATCACGTGTAAAATATACAATTACTTTATATTTATATGTGCTGCCATCTGCTTTCGAATTCATAAACTATATAAAAAGTATTGAAAATAATTAAATATTTGGCTCGCCTGATAGATTTTTATATTGAATAATATATTTAGTAATAATACTATTTCCTGGAAAAGACGGAGTCCATTGTATTGAAATTGTTCTGCTTGTAGTTTCTTTAACTTTTACTTCAACAGGTGCTGCCGGTGATTCTAAAAAATTATACAAATATTTATATGAAATATATAAATTTTTTTTCATACTTATAAATGTTTATTGCATCGTAAATAAATAATGTTTTTAATTAATTACATTTAACTTTTACTTCTGTTGCTTCGAACAGATGGCGACACTTGTACAATTTGATTAAAAGTATTGAATAAAACGATCAGCATCTTAATGAAACTTTACAATTTATATATGTGCTATTAATGGCACATTTGGGACTTAGCAGTGCAATGTTTTGTAAATTTCTTTTGTTCCTGCTAGCTAACATTAGGTCGATCTAATCAAGATTGGAATCATTTGTTTTATTTTATTAACTTGAGTAGCTTTAGTTAATACTTCGCAATAAAACGTGAAAGATTCTAAGAAACAACTAAACGCAATTTTAATTCAGACAAATGAATGTAGAATGTAACAGTTATCAACAATGTTATTGATTTTATACGATACTTTAAATATCTATAAAGTAAAACCTTTCTTCTTTCTTTTATCTTAAGTATTAAAAACTAAAAAATATTAAAAACTATTAAACTAAACTAAAACACGAAAAAATAATACTATAAAATGTTAATTATGCAATGAATTTCGAATTAAACTAAATTTATATTATTAAAAAAAGTTCAATTTTTGGAAGATATTCCTCGGACTTAATACCTAATTAAATTGCCTTATAAATTCGTATTAGTAACTTGAAATCATGCTACAGTTGGGTTTAGATATAAACTTATTAAATTCGACATTTCATTTAAATAACGTTCATTACGAAAATATACTTTAATCCTCTTTCAAATATTTATGATCAGCAGAAATGCTTAATTCCTTTAATCTAGCTTAGAAAATTTTTTGGTGATTAAAAATTTTTTTTTCGTATTCCTATATCGTTTAAAACATTCTAACGTAAAGATTACACGATATTTTCAGTATAAATTAGAAAAAGTTAAGTCAATTTATTGATATATATCCTATAAAACGTATTATATACATTTATATATATCATTAAGCATAAAACTCAATTTAAAATGTTATATCTCACTATTATATATTATTGAGAAATTTTATTTAAATAAAAATAATAATCTATAAATGTAATAACATAAAATTTCATTAAATAATTATAGTTTTTAATATAGATTTAAATTAAATACATCTAACAATTATTTAATAAATACTAAAGAAAAAACACAAACGTCTGGAGTATTCAATATAATATTTTTCTATCATCCAGTTAAGAAATAGTAGCTTGCAGCAAATCTACAAGACATTTTAAAATCGGAAATTGAAGTAGGACCTGCATAGTAACATGCCTGAAATACCATCATTCGACCAATCTGGTCAACAGAAATAGCAAAACTTCAAACTGCTAGTATCAAAATATCAACAAGTTCAGCATTCATTTTCCGATATTTTTCTTTCATTTCTATCGTATACAATTCAGTAAAATATTAAAAAATCTATAATAAAAAATGAAACTTTTTTTTCATTTATTTCATACAGTGCTTATAATAGCAATTTTTGTAGAAGCTACTTACAACAGAAAGACAGAAGTAGATATGACACATATTTCAAAAATCAAAAGACTTTCTTTATGTATATATATGTGACACAACTATACTGAAAGATAAATGATATTTATTGTAAGCATTTCATTTAAGTATAAATTAAATATGTTTTAAATCAATGATATTCAAATTATTGAAAGTTCCAAATCTGAAGGAATTTTTCAATGTTTTCGCAAATAATAACTATTAAAAATAATATAGAGCATTATTTTCAAACAATTTCAGTTTATTTTTTAAGCAAATTATGTACAGAAATAACAACTTAAAAAGAAAAATTACGTTTTCATAAAATTGTCTACAAAAATATTTAATTTAAATTAAATTTTTTTTCCCCATTTTCTTCTACACAAAAGTCAATTCTATTGAAGAACTCTTCGAGCATAAAATTCAACGATTTTAAGAATTTTAAGGGTTTTTTTAAACATATAAATTGACTGCTCTAAACCTGCCCTTAAATTTACAAAAATTATGTACTAAATGCATTTCGATTTTCTATAAATATCATTTTAATTTATATATTATAACGATAACGTCTTTAAAATATTTTTAATAAATTCGTAATATTCTTAAAAATATTAATTTTAAACTTTATTCATTAAACATAATTTTTATATTCTTCAAGATAATTATTGCAGTTACATTGTACTGTACATAAAATAACTGAATGTAATATAACTAATAAAATGGGAGCTGTGGGACAAATAAAAAGGGTTACTCATAGGAATATGGGGATAGAAAATAAGGAAACAGAATTCAAAGAAGGAAATTGATTTGTTATAACATCAAAGAATGAAATTTACAGAAGATTATGTAAAAAATATGAAGAATATTCAAATTTCGATTGCGTCTGCTTGATATATATTCCTATAATAAACTATATTCACCAGTCAATATAAAAATTTTTTAGTTAAATTATGAGATAAAATTCTATTTAAATTTTAATAAATTATATAAAATTATTCTAGATAATTTACCATATTAAGCTATCAACTAAATTGCAAGAAGTTTCTAAATTAATTTTTTAAGTCAAAAACTAAAATAAAATAATCTGATATGCTGATAAGTATAGTTTTCTCTATGGATATTTTATGATTTACACACACTAAAACGTAAATAAATAAATATGTATAGATAAAATAATAATTTACTAAATAATTTAGCATAAATATAAATCGTTATTCATTTATTTTATTTATTAATAATTGATATAAAGAGTCGTAATCTCTACAAAACGTTGAGTATATTCGCACGTAATTATAGAAACAAATATACAAATAAATTATTAATTTCAAATAAATATAGTAATAAACCTTAACTATAGAATATAGAAAATGTAAGATGAATGTATTGAAATAAAAAATAAAATAGTTTATATTTCATTTTCATTTTAAAGTGTAAAAATATTAAAATAATATGTTTAGTAAAATTTAGAAATTTCATACTGAAGTTTGGAACAATTAAAAATGCTTTAAGAACAGAAACGTAGTCTAAAATTGAAATATTCATTCTAAAAATAGAGCTCAGATCCATAATGTAATGCATACATTAATCCTTTAGCAGAGAAAATAATGGAAGATTTCAAATTTTTTTTTTTCATTTCATAAAATAAAAGTTAAAAAACGTGTTTATAAATTATACTAAATAAGAGAACAAACTTTCTATATCACACAACTTAAACATTTATTTATAATATAATTTAACAAACTGAAATATTAAGAATAATGTCATGGAAGAGTATTTTGGACTAAATAAATTACTTTATTTCTACGTTTAAATAGATAAATATGACATTTATACGATTAAACATTGTTAAAAATGTATATGCTACGATCTTCTGTTAACAAGCAACTTGATTCTCAAATCAAACATTTTATCCAGAAGTTAAACTTTTAAAAGAATTTCAGTAAAATTTACTTTTCAATGATTTCAACTTATTTGCTTATTTTCGTCTTATTATAAATAAAATTTATATAAGAAAAGTTCTTAAAATTTAAGAGAAAGTTTACTTCAATTCCTATAAATGTAAAAATAAATAATTCGTTAGTAAAAAACATTAAATTTATCACAAAATTTCCTTTAAGTTGCTCATATTTATCTTTATTATAACCTCATTTTTCTTAATTTAATTCCATAATATTATAGAAATCTAATTTATTAATTTTTTAATATTTTTAAAAAGTTTAAAATAATTTTACCTTAATCCTGTTATTATTCAATAAAAGTACAACAAAATTAATATAGATAATTGTGAATTCATATTTCATTGTAAAGTTTTATGTTTAAAACTTAATTCTGTAAATTCATATAAAATTTTAAAGTTAATATATAATTATAATAATAATAATATATAATAAATGCAAATTAGAAGATTCGTTAAATTTAGTAAATAGCCTAAGTTGAAATTATGTTAAAGTAAATGAGTACGTGATTATGAAATTTAATTACATAATTACATATTAAAATCGGTTTGAAAATATCAGGTAAAAATATGTTTATATTTTTTAAGCTTTTACTTTGAAGAAATCTGATTTCAGTCCACTGGATGAAATAATTTTAATGATTATGCTCTTAAAATATAATTTATCCGGCACCAAGCTCATTAAAATATGTTTTTAATGTTAATAAGTAAAGATTAAAATTTCTGATTTACTTTTAATATTTAAATGAAATTTTTTATTTTTTGCATTAGTAGAAAATTTTTCGCTTATTTAATATAATTGTAATTTTTATTTAGTTATTACTTTATACAGCATTTATTATAGTAAAATATAACTTAAATGCTTTTATATGAGAATTATTTGTAAGTTTTTAGAAAACGGAAAATAATAAAAATTTAATTATAAAAAAATCACAATTTTACTAGCAATTAGAATTATATTTACGTGAATCCCATCATAAAAATTTTAGAATATTTCCTATTATTATTATTATTAATTTCTCTAAGAACATTTTCTATTATTTTTTGTACTCTTTGTTGTTTACAATGTTTCTTTTTTTTCTTTCAGTCCTTTGAAAATTTTATGCTTTAAATTTAATTTCAAATAATAAAAATTTTTGTTTCAAAATATAAATTTTTTTATATTATAATGCTTATAGCTGGTTTAAATATAAACTAAATCAGAATTTGTTTAATTAAAAATACTAGAAAAATTATTTAGAGCTGTTTACTTAGTACATCTGTATGAATAATTTTTTTATAGCATCTACTATTATATATTACGGTTCATAACTTGGATACCACTTTGCCCTCAAATTTATTAAAAATACATCAGATTTATCTGACTTAAATTAAATTAACTGATCTCTTTACATTTTTAATGTATTAATGGAAGTGTTCGTAATAATTTAACAGGTAAAACCTATTAAATAATCACGAACATTTCCAAATTAATACGAATATAAAATTTTTTCCTTTACGAAAATAAGCTATAATTTCATTTATGTTAATAAGCCAATTCTACAAAGAAAGAAATCAATTATTTATCAGTTTATAATATACTTTATGTATTTTATTTATCTACCATAATTTTGTTTGATTGTAACTCATCATTAGAGATGATTCGACGATTGTGAAGCTATTGATTTCATAATAAATAGCTTCACAAATACTTTTATTGTCAGTTTATGAAGGAATCAATCAGAAAAATATATATCTTCAAAATAATTTTAGACTTTTCAAATGAGTTCTTGAAGTTTCTCACCAAGCCACATTTTCTCTATTTTGAAAAGAACCGAAAATTACACTGAAATTGTCAGATTTCTTCCAATCAAACGTTATTCAATTCTTCAATTGAACTCATTTTGCTCAAGAAAAGGATTATTTTCCTTCTTCCCAGCTTCGCAAATCTTCATATGTCAAATATGAAAGTCGTGTTTTGTACAAAGAAAATATAATTTAGCATATTAAAGAAAATAAAAAAAAAAAAAGAAATTAAATAATAATATTGGTGGAGCAATATAAAATTTAAGCATTCGCTATTAATACTACTAGTTTTTATTTTTCTATCAGTTATAATATTTTATATTTAAAAAAATTATTGGTTTCCCAACAGCTATATGAAATTTATGAAGCACAGAATATAAAAATTTTTACCTTGTACGACAAGCTGAATATTAGTTTCGTCGGAACCAAATTTATTGGTAACAATGCAAGTATATAAAGCTGAATCGAGTCTACCAGTTTGAGCGATTGTTAAAACTGACATCAATTTTCCAGGTAGAATTTCTTCCTTTACTTTATATCTATAATAAAGTTTCCGCTTTATACATCATTATATATATTTTAAAACATTATTTTATGTTTTACTGCCTCGCGAATTATTTTAATTATTTATTAAATGCATATATTTTATATTTAAAAAATTGTAAAGCGTTGTTAACTATTTGCAAACAAATTTACTCTATTAATTCTGATTAATGAAACGACATTTATTTGTGATATTTCAAAATTGGTACGAGATAAAAAAAATATCAAGATTTAAAATATTTTGTTGTAATTTTAACTGCTTAAATTTTTTAGAAATATTTATACAATGTTTATTTTTAGAATATAGTTACGTAAAATTTATATATTGATCGAAGTAGCTCCTCTTCGAATTACAAGAGCATCATCATCAAGCTATAGTTAATTTGAATTAGGAAATTAATTAATTACATTATTCGGGTTTTTATTTCAAGAATTAAAAAAAGAAATAATTTGAATTTTAACTTAAGAAATTAGTTTTAAATGGACAGTTTAAAAAATACAAATATATAAGATATGCATTAAATCTTGTAAGAATATATCCTTTTAAGTATCGCTGCTATCATATTTCATATTCTACTTTTCTTCTATTGTTACTCGTAAAATGAATATATTTTTTTATTTAATTTGTACAAAGTATACTATATTAAATAAAAATGCTTTAAGAACAGAAACGTAGTCTAAAATTGAAATATTCATTCTAAAAATAGAGCTCAGATCCATAATGTAATGCATACATTAATCCTTTAGCAGAGAAAATAATGGAAGATTTCAAATTTTTTTTTTTCATTTCATAAAATAAAAGTTAAAAAACGTGTTTATAAATTATACTAAATAAGAGAACAAACTTTCTATATCACACAACTTAAACATTTATTTATAATATAATTTAACAAACTGAAATATTAAGAATAATGTCATGGAAGAGTATTTTGGACTAAATAAATTACTTTATTTCTACGTTTAAATAGATAAATATGACATTTATACGATTAAACATTGTTAAAAATGTATATGCTACGATCTTCTGTTAACAAGCAACTTGATTCTCAAATCAAACATTTTATCCAGAAGTTAAACTTTTAAAAGAATTTCAGTAAAATTTACTTTTCAATGATTTCAACTTATTTGCTTATTTTCGTCTTATTATAAATAAAATTTATATAAGAAAAGTTCTTAAAATTTAAGAGAAAGTTTGCTTCAATTCCTATAAATGTAAAAATAAATAATTCGTTAGTAAAAAACATTAAATTTATCACAAAATTTCCTTTAAGTTGTTCATATTTATCTTTATTATAACCTCATTTTTCTTAATTTAATTCCATAATATTATAGAAATCTAATTTATTAATTTTTTAATATTTTTAAAAAGTTTAAAATAATTTTACCTTAATCCTGTTATTATTCAATAAAAGTACAACAAAATTAATATAGATAATTGTGAATTCATATTTCATTGTAAAGTTTTATGTTTAAAACTTAATTCTGTAAATTCATATAAAATTTTAAAGTTAATATATAATTATAATAATAATAATATATAATAAATGCAAATTAGAAGATTCGTTAAATTTAGTAAATAGCCTAAGTTGAAATTATGTTAAAGTAAATGAGTACGTGATTATGAAATTTAATTACATAATTACATATTAAAATCGGTTTGAAAATATCAGGTAAAAATATGTTTATATTTTTTAAGCTTTTACTTTGAAGAAATCTGATTTCAGTCCACTGGATGAAATAATTTTAATGATTATGCTCTTAAAATATAATTTATCCGGCNTCACACTTTCAAAAAAATAAAGAGAAATACAAAGAGAAAATTTCAAAAGAATAAATAAGAAAATTTCATTTTACAAATTCTTTTTAAATATATTAAATGGTTGAATTATTCTCGGGTAATTTGTATGAATTTTACGAATTTTCAAACGGTAGTTGCTATTTGAAATATTCGTATAATAAATATTATTTTATATCTTCTTTATAATTTTTCTATATGCAATTATTACCTTTTGTCTGAATCGGGATCAAGTAATTGTTTATCTTTTTCCCATGTCAATGTCAATGGAGATTCTCCAAGGGCTTCGCATTTCAAAATGGCCGCTTCTCCTTTAGCAACAGTATGAGTCCCAAACTTTGTTTCAAACGTAGGTGGCGCTGTGCTCCGGGGAGAGAGAGGGCAACAAAGTAAAAATCTTATTTCTAAATCCAATTCTTATAAACTGTAAAATGTATTGATACATTTTCAATGCAAACGGAATTTTCCTGCATTGAAGAATGTAACTAGTTATGTTTTTTGTAAAGTTGGCTTGTGTAAGGGACTAAATATTAAAATAATTTATTAATTTGCGATCTTAAAATTAAGTAATATATTATATTTTTCATGTAGAGAAATAAATTAAAAGAGATTTTAAAAATTCATAAATAAAGAATATTTAAAACTTCATATATAGATAACAGTTCAATGGCTGAATACTCACTGTGAACTGTCAGATAGATAACTTTACTGAGACCGGCTCCTATGCCATTGTTAGCATGGCAGAGATAGAAGCCACTGTCAAGCTTGGTAACTTCCTGGATTAACAAAGTGCCATTGTCGTAAACTCGCCTCTGGTAGGTTGAAAGGACATCACGGAAGTCGGTAGGATGTTCGCCTAGTAAATAAAGAAAAATCATACTGAATACATAGGATATAGAATGATAAGGGGAAGTTGTCTTGTCACTTTAAAATAGATAAATTCATAAACATAGTGAGAAACAACTTAAATAACAACTTTTTAACATGCAATGGAAGGATGGATATTTACAATGGTAAATAATGAGCTGATACCGACGGAGAAAAAGTCAAAATTCAATAACGAACATGTTTTATTGGCATATTTTAAAGGTTTTCTAGAGAAAAAATAAGCTTTAAAAAATCTATCTCAAATGACGTTAAATCTCCGGTAATTAAATTATCGATGCCGATAAAAAAATATGAAACAATAATTAACATTTTATTGGAAATTTACTTTTTTCCGTTCTTTTTAATTTTTTAAATAAATGTCTGTAATGTATTTTAAGCTTATTCTGTAAAGTTTTCTTTTTTAGAAAAGCTTTTTAATTGGAGCAAACATTTAGAAATCAATACAGACATTAAGTTATGTTATTATAAAAATACAGCTTGATTGTTTTTATATTTGACATTCAGTAAAAAATAAAATTAAAGCATATTCCGACAAATCAAATATATATTAATAATTATAAATCAGAACTTAAATAAAATATATAAAAAGAATATGCCTTTTGCAATTCTCCAATACATTCTTGGTTTGGGATGTCCATCAGCTAAGCAATCTATAGTCACTTGATGATTGAGAACAACAAATGCATTTGATGGCTCTATTACCCAACGAGGAGGCACTGAAATTTATCAATTAGAAATATCACGATTATATATAGGCCTATTATATTCGAAATTATAATTTTATACAAAAAACAATTCTGAAATTATCTTAATTATATATAGTTACTTAATAATATTATAAAAATATATAGTTATAATTATCTTAATTATATATATAATAAAATATATAGATTAGTAGGAATTTATTGATATTATATTCAAGAATTTATAGAAAGTCATAAGAGCATTATATAATGNTAATTATATATATAATAAAATATATAGATTAGTAGGAATTTATTGATATTATATTCAAGAATTTATAGAAAGTCATAAGAGCATTATATAATGTTGCTTAATTTTAATTAAAATAGTTAATTTCTACATTATAATGGACCACTTCTTTATAACATTGTTAAGTTTTAAAGGAGTTAAATAAAACTTAATCTAAAAGTTAGTTTATTTATTGTATTCCTGAAGCAGTAGACGACTGATCTAACTTCTATATATTTTTATTATAACTCAAATATATTGAATTTTAAGGAATATAAGTTTGTGATTTCAATTTTCTAAAACATATCTTTATAAATAAATTTTTTTCTCTGAATTTATTCCTTGTTTAGCCAATATATAGCCATATATAATATTCAATAGAACACTGAAAGAAAAAATATTTCTATTTGTTAATTTCTTGATACTCTATAATGTATAATTAAAATTTCTACGAGTATATTTTCAAAAAAAAGAAACAGTTATTAAATTTGAAAAATATTTTATTTATTTAAGCAATTTTCAATCATAATTTAATAACACATCAAACGTGAATAACAAGATTTACATAGATGAATCAAAGTCGAACAATTTATGAAACTTTCGTCGTACTAAATAATTAAAAAGATTCGTTTTATTAAAAATTTTTGCAAATTCTTTAAAATGTTTTATTTAATTAATTAAACGGCATCGTCGTGGAAAATTACAAGGATTAATTAAAAGAATTTGTTGTCTTGAACTTTTTATCTCACATATCTTATTTGATCTAGTTTTACGATGTTCAAAATATTTAACTCACACTTTCAAAAAAATAAAGAGAAATACAAAGAGAAAATTTCAAAAGAATAAATAAGAAAATTTCATTTTACAAATTCTTTTTAAATATATTAAATGGTTGAATTATTTTCGGGTAATTTGTATGAATTTTACGAATTTTCAAACGGTAGTTGCTATTTGAAATATTCGTATAATAAATATTATTTTATATCTTCTTTATAATTTTTCTATATGCAATTATTACCTTTTGTCTGAATCGGGATCAAGTAATTGTTTATCTTTTTCCCATGTCAATGTCAATGGAGATTCTCCAAGGGCTTCGCATTTCAAAATGGCCGCTTCTCCTTTAGCAACAGTATGAGTCCCAAACTTTGTTTCAAACGTAGGTGGCGCTGTGCTCCGGGGAGAGAGAGGGCAACAAAGTAAAAATCTTATTTCTAAATCCAATTCTTATAAACTGTAAAATGTATTGATACATTTTCAATGCAAACGGAATTTTCCTGCATTGAAGAATGTAACTAGTTATGTTTTTTGTAAAGTTGGCTTGTGTAAGGGACTAAATATTAAAATAATTTATTAATTTGCGATCTTAAAATTAAGTAATATATTATATTTTTCATGTAGAGAAATAAATTAAAAGAGATTTTAAAAATTCATAAATAAAGAATATTTAAAACTTCATATATAGATAACAGTTCAATGGCTGAATACTCACTGTGAACTGTCAGATAGATAACTTTACTGAGACCGGCTCCTATGCCATTGTTAGCATGGCAGAGATAGAAGCCACTGTCAAGCTTGGTAACTTCCTGGATTAACAAAGTGCCATTGTCGTAAACTCGCCTCTGGTAGGTTGAAAGGACATCACGGAAGTCGGTAGGATGTTCGCCTAGTAAATAAAGAAAAATCATACTGAATACATAGGATATAGAATGATAAGGGGAAGTTGTCTTGTCACTTTAAAATAGATAAATTCATAAACATAGTGAGAAACAACTTAAATAACAACTTTTTAACATGCAATGGAAGGATGGATATTTACAATGGTAAATAATGAGCTGATACCGACGGAGAAAAAGTCAAAATTCAATAACGAACATGTTTTATTGGCATATTTTAAAGGTTTTCTAGAGAAAAAATAAGCTTTAAAAAATCTATCTCAAATGACGTTAAATCTCCGGTAATTAAATTATCGATGCCGATAAAAAAATATGAAACAATAATTAACATTTTATTGGAAATTTACTTTTTTCCGTTCTTTTTAATTTTTTAAATAAATGTCTGTAATGTATTTTAAGCTTATTCTGTAAAGTTTTCTTTTTTAGAAAAGCTTTTTAATTGGAGCAAACATTTAGAAATCAATACAGACATTAAGTTATGTTATTATAAAAATACAGCTTGATTGTTTTTATATTTGACATTCAGTAAAAAATAAAATTAAAGCATATTCCGACAAATCAAATATATATTAATAATTATAAATCAGAACTTAAATAAAATATATAAAAAGAATATGCCTTTTGCAATTCTCCAATACATTCTTGGTTTGGGATGTCCATCAGCTAAGCAATCTATAGTCACTTGATGATTGAGAACAACAAATGCATTTGATGGCTCTATTACCCAACGAGGAGGCACTGAAATTTATCAATTAGAAATATCACGATTATATATAGGCCTATTATATTCGAAATTATAATTTTATACAAAAAACAATTCTGAAATTATCTTAATTATATATAGTTACTTAATAATATTATAAAAATATATAGTTATAATTATCTTAATTATATATATAATAAAATATATAGATTAGTAGGAATTTATTGATATTATATTCAAGAATTTATAGAAAGTCATAAGAGCATTATATAATGTTGCTTAATTTTAATTAAAATAGTTAATTTCTACATTATAATGGACCACTTCTTTATAACATTGTTAAGTTTTAAAGGAGTTAAATAAAACTTAATCTAAAAGTTAGTTTATTTATTGTATTCCTGAAGCAGTAGACGACTGATCTAACTTCTATATATTTTTATTATAACTCAAATATATTGAATTTTAAGGAATATAAGTTTGTGATTTCAATTTTCTAAAACATATCTTTATAAATAAATTTTTTTCTCTGAATTTATTCCTTGTTTAGCCAATATATAGCCATATATAATATTCAATAGAACACTGAAAGAAAAAATATTTCTATTTGTTAATTTCTTGATACTCTATAATGTATAATTAAAATTTCTACGAGTATATTTTCAAAAAAAAGAAACAGTTATTAAATTTGAAAAATATTTTATTTATTTAAGCAATTTTCAATCATAATTTAATAACACATCAAACGTGAATAACAAGATTTACATAGATGAATCGCCTTAAAAAAAAACGTTTTTCCTTTAATTAAAAACCTATTTTTGTTTGTCGATTATTTTTTTAGTAAAAATATTCATTCATTTGTAAAATAGCAAAATATCGGAACAGAATCGCGTGTAATTGAAGTAGAAACTTAAGTATTTTATTTAGACATCAATAAATAATTAAGAATCTACTCCAGTTACAATAAAAATTCGTTGAATGTCTTCAATTTACAGTTTATCTATCAGATGCCTGTAATATAATATTTTATTTTTCTCCATAAATTTTCAAAAATTTCTACGATGAAAGTTTATATTTAAATGGAAATAATAATATGTTTAATATATCTAATTAAACAAGAAATTTTTTTTTATTTTTAAATTATATTTATAAAAATTTTCCATTTAAATTTGTAAATTGTTGCTTAATAAAAACTCACCTTTCACTACTAATGCCGTTGTTCTATTTGTAGTGGCAGCAACATTAGAAGCCACACAAGTATAATTTCCACTGTGACGGAATGCCACCTTTCGAAACACTAAAACAGACGAATCTTCCATATGCTGTAAGGTCACATCTGTTTCTACAGTGACAGCGTAATTATTTTTCATCCAAACCACTCTAACAGGAGGATCGCCTTCCAACACACTACACATCAATTTGATCTTCATTCCTTCGTTAGCGTAAACAGTTGGTGGTAAAGGTTGAGGATCAATCATAGGTGCAACTGGAGAAGAAAAGTAGAATGTATAATGAGAAGCAGGAGATACTGGGTATTGTTTTACGAAAGTTAGAACCTAATTTATCTCGTTATTAATAAACAGGGTGTGGCTAGAGACTGTAAAAGATGCATTTAAAGAAATTTTCCTTAAACATTTATTAATAGTAACGTCACATTCATGCTTTTACACGGAATTAATAATTAAGTTTCAAACTATTCTACGGTGGTTAGATTGCCACACCCTATAATTAAACATACCCAGAACAAAAATGTAAACAGATCCTTTAGCTTTTTCTCCTTCTCTATTCTTAGCAATACAAGAATAATCTCCTTGATCAGCATTTCTCTGTACATTTTCAATTGTCAACACTCCTTCAGGTGTAACTTTCTGACGATGATTAACTGGCAGCGCTAAACCACCTAAATAAATATTTCATACAATTTTAAGTAGATCTTAAAACAAATGTAATATAATTTCATTTTAGTCATTTTTTCCTTTATTATTTTTTATGAATATTCATTGAAACAGAAGTTCTTTTCTTGTCATAATAAATTGAATATTTCGTGTTTTGTCTCGTCTTTATCGATTCAAAACTTAATTCAATAAAACTTTAGTATTAGAAAACACACATTTACGAAATTGAAACACTTTCTTTTTCGACACTTCACATTTTTCTAAAAGTGGTTATCTTCCATACTTGGAAACAAAAGAATTTTTGTTCGAGGAAAAAACAACACGCTCTCAAAAACACGAAAAGAAAAGACATTTTCAAAATCAGATTTGTGGTACTTGCAAATGCCAAAATTACAGTAAAATATACTAAAATTATTTTTTGTAATAAAATCTTTTAAAAATAAATTTATAAATAAACGATTTTAATGAATAACACATTGAATTTTATTACTATAATCAAAATACGTTTAAAAGAAATCAAATCTCTATTGTAAGTTATACTTATTTTGAACCATTTTTTTTAAGGGGAAAAAAAGGTATAATTTGTGTTTTACTGTTTATAAAATAGATGAATGCCTTCATAGAATACAACATTATCTCCTTTATACCTTTGTATTTTTTAAAGAATCTCTTCTTAATCGATAATGACACAACAGTCGTTTTTTGATGGAATAATAAAAAAAAGAATTCAAATAATCGAAAATACCTATCATACACCGATGTTATCTTTTTGAAGTTCAATGCTTCCTCATTGATCCTAGTTCTAATACTGATATTACACAGACTAAGGCAACAAAAGTTCTTCAGCTACCACACGACTAAAAACAACTAAATACCGGACATTGATTGATGGCCAAAACTGAAGATGGATAAAAGAAAACATTACCTTTTTCCATGTTCACTCTCTCTTATTGTTCTTGGTAACTAGAGGATCGCAAGTTGCTACAAAAGGACTTTATTTTTATTATTGTTTTATTAGCTAATAGAGTTATTTTTAACATGTTTGATTTTGTTATAGCTTTATTTCTTATAAAATATTTTTTTAAAAAACCTTGACTATAAATATAGATACATATTAAATCTAAATTATCGTGTGTTATTCCATTATAATCATTTGTTTTAAGAAAAATTGTTTAAGTAAACACTTTTAAAGAAACAATTTAAAGACATTGAATAAAAGTAAACAATAAAGAATAATTTTTATATCTGTTTTCTAATTAAAAAGCGTAATTACTTTTATTGATTTTTTAATTTCGCCTGGAATAATTTCAACATTTTTAAATTTCAAAACAATTATTTTCCATTAGAAAATTTTTAATTCAGTAAGAGAAAAACATTAATAATTTCGAGATAAAACTTAAAAAAATTATATTTATTCTCTACCAATTACTTTAGTGTTTTTTTAAATACTTTAATCGATTGAAATTATTTTTATATACCTCTCTCCCATATAATTGATTCGATAGGATACCCAGCCACAGGACATCTAAGTGTCAAAGTGTTTCCAGCCACTACAGAAATGTTCTTCATCATTCGAATAAGTGGAGGACCATAAACATTAATTCTCGCTGAGTGACGAATCGTATCCACAACATTGTTGGCCGAACAACTATATTCTCCTCCATCTTCAACTCGTACTTCGGAAACATTGACATAACTGACTACGTGAGCTTCTGACGTCACGAAATCGCCAACTCTATACCTCAAATGATCAGGGATTCCATTATCATCGAGTGACCAAGTTATCTGTGGAAGTGGATTCCCTGAGGCTGCACACTTTAGAGATAGCGAGTTTCCTGGTTTCATTGTATCTTCCAGAAACGTATATATGAAAACCGGAGCTACGTCTGAACAAATAAAAAATATATATATTTTTAATACTTTTCTGAAATAAATTTTTTATCTATAAAGTGCTAGAAATTTTATGAACAAATTTTATTACACGAAATTTTCACAAATGCTCATAAAATTTCTTTTTTAAATTGAGATAACGTGATTTTCATACTTCTTTTTTACAGTTTAAAATCTATACATAATTCTATTCTATTTTTTATTATGATATTATTTATTGTTTAGTTAATATTTATATATATTAAATAGGTTACTGACCTCCTAGCCTGAGTTCCGCTGTGCCTTGAACAGATTCTATGTTATTGTAAACGAAACATTGATACATGCCTTTATCTTCTCTCTGCACTGAGGATATATGCAATATGTCACGTGATAATACTGTTATTCTATCAGATTCAGTAAGAGGCCGTCCATCTTTCATCCATACAACAGATGTTACTGGATGTCCAGTGATGCTACAATTGAAGGTAGCCGCTTTTCCCACATCGATTACTTGCCGTTGAGGATAAATATACACAGACAATGGGGCTGAGAAAATATTATTCATGAATAGCTTATCACTAAATCTACCTTCTACGTACGATAATTTTAGAGAAAACAAATTCACATTACTAAAGAGAATTTTCTAAACAAATGTAATTTCGAGCCGAAAAGTTATTAGTGATTTCTAATGAAACTAATTTAACAATCTTATTTATTAATATTTTAAAAGTTAAAATTTAAATTTAACATTTGCTAATTAATATTTACTCTTAGAATAACGAATCGCTACATTATAAAGTCGAATGATTTGCTATTCTATTCAATATTTTAAAATTCAAGAAGTTCGGTTTTAACGTAATAAAAAAGATATTAGAATTAAATTATTACCGTAAAAACTTCAAAACATTTATAAAAAAAAATAATCAAATTTATTTTTCACAGCTCTTATTAGAACGAGTACTTCTAGAAGAAAAAGAATCTACTAAACAAAATTATTTATCATAAGTTTAAATAATGCATAAAGTTTTCTTTTTTACATTAAAGATATTCTTCATAATTATTTTAAAACAAAGTAGAAATAATCACAAAAAATTTCAAATACAGAAATTTAAATAAGAAAATATATCTTAATAAGAAAAAAGAGGAGAAATGGTTACCGGAAACAGTGAGAATCGTTGTGACTTTCTCTTCTCCAGCAGAGTTATTAACCACACATACATATTTTCCACTGTCATGACTACCGACATACTGTATAACCAAAATACCATCCACTGTCATTGTTCTTGGATTAACACTCAAGGGGATAAATTCTCCATCTTCTTCTTTGTACCAACTATACGAAGAAGAATGGTTATCTGACATTTATTGATTTTTGGGTTTACATTAAATCAAAGTTGTCAGGAAAGTCTCTATCCGATCCCTGTCAGCAAACTCTCTATCCTAAGCATGACATATTTTCGCAAAGGGGAAATTTGTTTGAATTTCTTTACAATATTTTCTGGTTTTCCAAATAGTTTAGTAGACCATCAGTGGTAAGGTTTCTATATCAAAACAGTGTTTAGTTTTTGTTCAGCTCTCGAGGGATGTATTATATCCTCAAAATAGTTGTTTTTCTCATAGCAGTGTAATGCTTCTTTTGTTTATTCTTTAACTTTATCAAAGTTATAAGGAATTAATAAGGTTTCTATATAAATAGAAAGGCGTTTAGATTAAAAAAGATTCTTTATTTAATAAACATTTAAAAAAATTCCATTTACTTATGATGCAAATATACTTAAAATTTAATTAAAAAAAGCCACGAGAGTAAATTCTATATAAAATTTTTATTTCTTTTATTCTCTTCGAATTTAACGTAATTTATCGATAGTTATTTTATAAAGTTTTGTTGAATTTATGCGCGATTGCACAGAAACTCAGTTGTAAGTCAGATAAAACAAATATTGAAATGGACGGAGCAAATATTGTTGAAGATTGAGAGTTTAGTATGTAATATTTAACTAATGTCTTTATATTTTAACACACTATAAGTAAGACTATTAGAAGGGTAGAAAAAAAGAGAGAATCTTGTGTCAATACACAAAATACCATCAATATATTATTCAAAATGGCAATATAAAATAAAAGAATGTTTAGCTTTTGCTCTACTGCGTGTATATATATATATATATATATAAGCGATGCAATAAATATATCAAAGTATCATCCATAAATTACCTTAAAATATTAAACATTTTTTGCAAATATAAAGAAAAACTTATAAATAATACATTTTTGAAATATATATGCATGTATTTAGCATGTAAGTTAATTAGAAATATTTCTAAACAGAAAATTTACTGTAGTAGATAGAAAAACAAGCATTTAAATAAATGTTTTAGTATATATAGTCGTAAAATTTAAGATAAAGTAGACAGTATATCACCTGTAAGTAGGTAAAGGGAAAGCTTCTGCAGCACAGGCTAACTGAACTGTTTCTCCTTCCCGAGCTGCAACAAATAAGTGACTATCGGTAATTCTTGGAGGAGAATTTCCATGCGGTTCTGTAAATAATAGAAATTGTCACTATTATTTTGAATATTAACACAATTATATATAAGCCAATTTATATATATTAATTTTAATTTTATTTTATTGAGCACTGTTACATATCAGCGTGGCATTTAACCGTTTATAATAGTAATTAAAAATAAAATATAAAGATTCTCTGTAGTTAGTTTAAATGTTAGAATTAATTAATGCAAATAAAAATTTTATGTAAAATATTTTTAAGTATTAGATTCTTCAATTCTAAAACATGATANAAAAGTTATAATGAAAATAGTTGTAACAGAAAGACAATTGAGAGTTTCGCAGACGTATTACATAAAAAAAGAAATTACATTTAACTTTTGTTATAATATATTTTGGCATTGATTCGTGACAAAGTTCTTGCATTCAGTTCCTATTTTAATGTTACAGAACGTCTGCTACGAGTTGAGTGAGTAAGTATCAGGCCATTTACTCTTTTGTTTAGACTAAAAGCTATCCAACTGTTGTCTAGACTAAAGAAAAGCGGTACTAAGCCATTTCTATGATACATATGTTGTTGCAGCTGGTCTGATAACTTACTTTTTTTTCCTTCAATTTCCTTCTTGCCAAACCTACTTAATGATATTTTCAGAAAATGCTCCGAATTTCTTATAACAATTAGTTTAAAATATTTTCTAAATTCCATTACAAAATTCCTTTCTTGAATAAATAGTTTAGATTTCAGTTATCTTAAACAGCATTAGAATGAGGCAAAACTTTTTATTTCAATATATTTTAAAATATTCTTAAAAGTTAACCGATTTTATCCGGTTTTTTAGATGAGTAATGATAATAAAGAATTAAAGTTCATTTGCTCAACATGACAGATATATAATTACGTTTATATTCTCATTTTTTAATAAGAACTTTAACTTAATAATTTTTGTAGCAATAATTAATTATAGCTTAAGGGAATTTGACTATTTAATTTGATCATTTACGCCAAAGTCTTTATAGCGATTAAAACGGGTATCGCTTAATAAGTGATAAATATACATTGAAATTAATTTTCTTATAATTAAGATCCAAATTTATTAAATTTCATAATAAATTGTTTTAAGAAATTTCTCTAAAAATTATAATTAGTTTCTCTATAGAAATTTAATCTTTTTTCCCATTAAATTTATACATTTTACTTGTTTAATTTTGTTTTCTATTCAAATCACTTTGAAGAATTGTTAAGGAATTTTTACTCTACTGGAATTACGTTTAAGAATATTTTTCCGAACTAGAATAGGCTATTTAAGAGGATTTCTACATCATCATCATAATGACTATTTCTGAGGATTTATAGTAGAGGAAATAAATAGCTCTCTTTTATTCTTCTCTGCAATAGAATAAAATAAATATCGCGAATTGTTGTAAATAGTAAAGTCATGAATTGTTAATTCAATTCGAATGACTTTACTTTTACTTCTTTACAGCCACGGAAAGATTAATTTTTTTCTTATTATTCAAATAATCTTAAAAATTATAAGTAGAAATTTTCTTGTTTTGAAAAGTAATTTTTAAAAATTTTGTTACACATCATTAAATATTTTGATGTACGAGAAACTTTTAATTTACAAATAATAATTCTTTCTTTTCCTTAATTATTAAATAATTAAACTTTATATCTAAGTTTATTTAACGAATTTTTATTAATTAGATTAATTAAACAAAATTTTAATTTTGATACTTTAACCTTACATCTATATTAAATAACGTATTTTTTTTTAATTTCTATTCTGTTTTAGTAAATATTTTTTTTATGAAACTTCTCTCAGAAAGCAAAAAAACTATAGAATTAGAGAATGAAACCAGAATAGTGTCGACTACTATTTTAAAGTTCATCCCTAGCTTTATTTGTTCTGTACTTTGGGATGATTCATGGATCCAAACAGAACATTCTCTAGCTGTAAATCTTCTTTTGTGTAAAATCTTCAAAGAGCATCTTTCAGATATAGGAAATCGCTTGGGATTTGTTAGTTCGAAAGTTTTTACTTTTACTTTTTGAATTTTTTTACATTTGTAATTTAAGCAAAATGTTTTTTTTTAAATATAAATTAAATTAATTTTATAGATTTTGATGAATATAATTTAACATAATTATTTACAATAAATTAGAAAAAAACTTAATTTATTTTGCCTTGTTTTTTTTTATTAAACTTAATATAATTATATGTTATGCTGTTGTGTTAATTTTCATTTTACATACGTATATTATTATTCTCGATAAAAATTTAACTGTTTTTGATTTAATTTACAGAAAGATTTTTATAAATTCGTGCAAAAAAAAAGTTGAAGTAAAAAGCTATTTTCCACGATATAGAAAGAAAATAACGTATTTATAATTTTATTATTACGATTATTATTCTATGCATTTTTAATAACACAGAATTACATAAAGTTAAATATAATAATAGACCTATCGATTTTGTAAGCTGTCCATCATCATCATTGCAAACAGTTAACAATGTCTGACACTGAGTCAAGTGGACTATTTGTCATCTGTTTGTAAATGCTGGACATTATTCTATAACTAGTCAGAAAATTAATATTTTAATTGGACATCACTTCATATAATAATTATCCAAGTAATAAAGCTAATTTTTGAACAGTAAAAATTTATCATTGAACAGCTTAGAAAACTTTTATATGATGATAACAATTTTATATTGATTAAGCTAAACATAGATTTAAAAATTTGTGGATATATTTTGTAATTTTTAATGATTAAAAATAATGTAAAACAGTTTTTAAATAAAAATAAAGAAAATAAAACGTCTTATTATGTTCTTTTTTAACCAATCAATTAGTCGTTATATAAGTAAAGTTTAGTATTCGTAATTGAATTTTTTATTTCTTTATGATATAAATTGAAATTTCTACAAAGACTCTTCTATGTTTAATAGCATCAATAATATATCGGAGCCACACGCAAATCCTCACGGCAATCTTTCATACGATCTTGATCGACTTACTTGTATCGAACGCAAGAAAATCTTGAATATCCTCAAGGAATGAATACATGCAGGAAAAAAAAGGAAAAAAAATAGCAAATACGGATTTATCAATAATAAGTAGATTATAAATATTACTTCAAAGAAATTGATACAAAATTTCTATTTGATTTCTGTCTTTCCAAGGTACTTTCCAAGTTCAAAGAATGCAATTTAAATGCCACTTCATATCTATATCTTAAGTATGAGAAAAATTGTGTTAACATATCTCTTGGTATGAGAATCTAAACAATTTAAAAAGTCGTTATTCAGTTAAGAATGTAGGAAGCCGCGCTTATTTCGCAGAAAAAAGCAAAAAAGCGTAAACAATCTTGGAAAATATTGTAAGGATGTTATATAATAAATCGTTTCTTAACAGTGGTTGCATAAAAATTAAAGAATCTTATAAGCTTAAATAACTTAAGAATATATATAAAATTTTATATGAATAATAATAATAACAATGGTATAAGTATAAAAACATAATAATTTAAATTATATCAATTATTCATTTAGTATCATCGATATTTGTTGATNCGTTATTACGAAAATAATGAAAACTTTAATAAGTAAGAATTTGTGTAAGAAAAAATATGTCAAAATAAAACTATATTAATTTTAATTAAACTACAATACAATTCTTTTTAAATTTAAAATCAATATTCTTAAAATCCGTCTAAATAAAAAAATAATCATTCGTTGAAATCAATTTAAAATTTTAAATGATAATATAAACATTAAGAATTATAATGCTATTCTAAAATTAAAATAATAAATTAAATTTTAAAAACGTTACGTAGATATATTCTGTAATATTTCAATATATTGAAGTTTAGGATATAAATAAAATGTTTTAAATACTCGTGAAAATGGGGAAAATTCTCAATTTCAATTTTTGGTATAATTTTTACGAAGTTTTGTCATGTAACAAGTATATTAATTTCAACAATTTTCTTGTTAAGTGATCCTGAAAGTAAAACTTAGAAATGAACCACATTAACAAGAAACTTTCTGATAATAATGGGTTGATAGGGTATTATCTTCCTTATCTATCCAGCATTAGATAAAGCGTCAACAAGTTTATCGCATGCCACAATTAAACAAACTTCTGACATAAAATCCATAAATAACGTATAAAACATGTTTTTTATTGTGCAAATATAAAACTAAACTAATTGAATTGTATAATTCAATTCTATTATATATTTTTACAATAGCAACAGGAAGGAACAAAATATTCAAAAATTTTCTGAAGATTGACTGAGTATAGATTCGTGAAAAAAGGAACAGGATGCGATACATGAAAATCTGTCAAAATTTTTCAAAGAATGATTTTGTCAAAGAAAAAACTGTCAAATATTGGATACTTTGGGAAAATATTCTAATTTTTTGGACAAAATTCTGTGGAATTTGGAAGAGGAAATTTCTTAAAGTACAAAACTTATACAGCTTATATCAATTGCATAAATCTAAAGCTGAGTCAAGCGAAACATGATTCATATTTAGAATATTTATGAATGAGAATTGTAAAGCATGATTTTATGTAAGGATATTCGCTATCGTAGCTTTAAATCCTGTTTGAAAATATGTGCAAACTACATTACTAATGTCCACTTTTATCGTCGAGTTTTACTTGAAAGAAAATAAAGCATTCTAGAAATGTTTGAAAATGTTTTCAGAGTTTATTTAATTCAAGAAAATATTAGGAAATTTAACATATATTATTTTAGAATTTAGAAGCATAGTATTAAGCAAATATTTCTAATTTATAAAATATCACAACGTGTGATATATTAAAATACCTTAATAAAATTAATTTTTAATATAATTATAAATAAATCTATTTAAAATATTACAGNTTTTATTTATTAAATTATTTATCGTTTAAATTAAATTAATAACCACTTTTAAAAATTTATGACTACTTGCAATACATATAATATTTCAAAAGTATAGACTTTAAAATACATAGTATATATTTTAGAGACTATATATATACGTTTATATATATAACGTATTATATAGAACATTTATAATATATCTATTTGTAATTTATATATAGCGCATTCATGTCTTCAAGACAGAAAAACTGAAATTGTATCTATCAAGCAGCACAAAATGAACGAATATCAATCAAATACTACACAATACATCTTTTTTTTATTTCTTAACTTAAAAAACTTTTCCTAGAAATATATAGGACTAATATCCGCAATAAAATTGCTGAACTCTTCGAAATTAGAAACACGCACATTTATAACTTACAAAAGTAGGATTCTGTAGTTTTTTATATCTGTTTCCATTTCATTTTTTACACAAGAGACAAAAAAAATGATTAACTGCTAAAACATTTCACCAAATCTGTACAAATCTTGAATAATATGTTTCTATTTTGAAACTATCCAGATACGAGTATCTTATAGATGCATCTTATAGCTATATAAAAAAAGCATCATTGAACAGAAAATAAGTAGTCACCCATGTGTGAAGAACAAACCATCAACCTGGAATATAAAGCTATATTTTAGAGTTGTTTTTGTCATTAACTCAGTATTAGCATGTGTATTAAAACTACAACTATTATTATGAAATGTACTACCACTCACAATATATTGATGTGAAGATTTATATTCATGTTTTAAATTACAAGAGAAAAATATCAAGTAGAATAAATCATAACCAACATTATTTTCCCTAAGCAATATTCTAGAAATGAGACCTCTACGAATAAAAGTTTGAGAAATATTCAACAAAATAGCCTTTAAAGTTTATTCGCGATCTAAAATATCACAGTAAATAGTCTATAAAAATTTTTAATAGATAAGTTTATATAACTGTTAATTTTCTTCCATTAATTTCTATAATTTATTCTTGATTATAAAAGAAAACAAGCAATTATTTATTGTGATGTCGTCACAATGCCAGGCTGCAACTTTTAATCATATTTTTAATTTATTTAATTTAAAATATATGATCTCCACCTCAAATTAGCAGTGGCTTGCCCCTGTACATCATACTTTTCCTTTAACAGTAGAGTCGTGCCAGTCATCTGTCTAACTCCTTACAGGGGAACATTGTCTGAATTGAAATAACGTGACTTCCAGTTTCCATCGATAGTTCATATATAGTTAAACGAGGCCTCCTGCTTTTATGTTTCCGATATCTGCTCTCGGAGTTCATCTGTCTAACTTGTTCTCAAGATTTAGGAAAGACGGACAGACAAACAGACGGACGACAGTGGTAATTTATAGGATAATTTACAGAATTTCAAATTGCAGCCCTTATATAAATTTTCCTCATTTCTTTAAGTACATTTTAAGATTTAACTATCAAATAAATTTATTTTGCATCAATTAATTTATTTTTATTGAATTTTATTGCATATTAAATGCACCGATACTATTCAAATCGTATAGCTTACATCTCCTCGTTTTATATAAAATTCCTTCCATTTCAAATCACAAAGAAGTAGATTTGTTGAAATTCTTATTGCTGTAGTAGAAATATAGAAAGTTTATGCAGATAAATAAAGAATTCTATGACGAAGTATTTTTATATAAAATAGTTGAAGTAGAAGTTTTAGTAATATTTAATATATAGAACCCTACACATTATATTGAATAATATATTTTAACTATATTGAAGAGGATTATTATTTAAGTTATGTAAAACCCATTTAATACTTATTCTTTATAGGTTTAATGGAAAGGATTACACGATATGAAAACGTTGAATTATTCATAATGTACATTTAAATGAATATTACATAAGTTTCTACGTTATATGGTGTTTTATCATTTGTTATGTTTGACACCTATTCGTCATCTTGACGTTAAAAACCAAACTTCGTTACTAAATTATGAACATATTTCTTTTATCATACCGAAAAATTCATGTGTGCGTTCTACTTTATCCTTTAAATCGAAATTTTTGAATTTATCAAGTACTCCCATTTAGCAAAGTTTGGCTTATAGTTTAGAAATATAACGTACGAATCACCATTGTTGTTGAATCTATTAAATGATGTCACGACATGTCTTCGAGGCTACAACACTGATATTTACTTGTTAAGTCAGAAGATTTTTCTCACTCACACACTTCACAAAATAACTCACCCGTGACAAAAAGACGTCCAGATGTGGCACTGCTAGTCACATCTCTTGTAAGCTTGTGTCGAGTCTGACAACTGTAGGTCTTCAGACTGTCACCCTGGTTGACGTTTCTTATATACAGTTCACCTGTCTGTAGAATAATATATTTCCCACCTGAAAAGGAAAGAATAGTTTTAGGAATGATATAATGTCTTCGACAAAATGACATCATTAAATCTTAAAATTTCAATGAATTTTTAAGATTTTAAAAAACATTCGAATTTTAAATCTAAATTTTTATAATAAATTTCTGATTATATTTAGTTTCTATTTAGTTATATAGTTAACTTACTTGCACGAATTATTTTACAAAAAGACTTATTTATTTAATATAAAATTAAACATTTCTTATTTATTTTCTATTTCATCAAGTTTACTTATATTATCATATTATGAAGAAAACAATGTTTAATAATATACAATTTTAATTTAAACTCTTAAAAGAAGGCCATTTTAGTCTCCAGAATAAGACACAAATAAATAAATAAATAAATGTCTATATATAAAGTTGATATTATAGAAAATTTTTCGTTTGTTATAATAAAATTTCAAGTGTGTTTGTATAAATTTTGTATAAAATTTTTTCACATTGTAATGGAAATGAAACAGTTTTATACGAGACTGCCTCAAATTGAATGTTTTTCAGGATAAAATTGGTTTATTTTGTAGACATTTTTGAATTTTGTTGCGAAATTTAAATGTTTTGAAAGTATTATGAGTGTAAAATTGGAACAGTGCTATAAAAACGAAAGAAAAAAATTATTATTATTTATATGTCAAGTTTAAATAATATTTCAAATAATTATCTGTAATTATTAATAAGTTTTCTTCCTTAAAACATCAACTAAAACAGAAAAATAATAATATAAAAAATTATATATAGTAAATATTTTAAGAAGTATTATAAATAGTATTTTTATCGAAAATTATTTTATTTTGATAAATCATTTGCAATAGTATAAAGTATCGAGAATTTAAAATGCATTTCTTACTCAAATCCACGATCTATTCATATAAAAATTGTAATATAAACAGAATATATACTGTTATTTGACAAGCCGAAAAATATATTCTATGCTGAATAAAGCATTTTTTGTGGATTTCATAACATACATTTTGCATTACGTATTCCGAGTGTAATTGAAGATAAAGTTCATCGAAAATTGAAAAATTGCATAAATATATATACTGTATATGTAGTGAAAACTTTTCGAAATGTTATTTAGATGCTTTTTTTATTGCGCTATAAAAATGGTAATAAGACAAATATTGAAGTGTACAGATTATTCTTTAAAGGAGTTTCTCTCTATAGGTAAGACAATGAAAGTCTCCAATGGCCAAGTTTGTTATCAGGATGTTCATATCTCTCGATTTATCTATGTCAGACGGGATTTTACTTGATTTTACAACTTACGTGTTTGGCATTTTGATTCTCAATCCATCCTTTATTTTTATTAGAAATTTTCGATATAAAAAGAGTAAGTTTTCTCTTTAAATAACAGTAAAGTAATTCAGTTATCCACTCTCTGATTTTAAATCGTTTTAGATATTTAAATGTAGCAAAAAAGTTTCTTAGAAAATTATTTTAAAATAATACGACTCTAGTTGTTAATTTTAAAAGGTTTTGAAATTATTTTAATCTATATGAATTTTTTTATAATTAAATTTTAAAAATTAAGTAAGAAATTTTTTCTCGAAAAAATTCAACTTATTTTTATAAATATGCAGTTTTAAAATATGAATTCTTCCAAAATTTTATTTTAATTAAAATTGTAATATTGATATTTTTGCATCAAATAATATTAAATACATTTTTAATAAGAAAATATATATATATATATTTCTTATTACCGTAAGGAATAACGAATGAGAAAATTATCTGATGGAGAATATTGATTTTGGAAAGCAGTGAACGTTCTTGGAGAAATAGAAAAAAATATAACAAAAATTATACATTTTTAAAGATAACTTTAACAGATTTATCTGATTTAATTATAGATGGTGATAATATTAATACAGTAATTTACAAGATAATTAATTAGAGATAATTACAATTAATAATAACACCATAGATATCTCGAATAAATAAATGGGATATATTGCAGAAAAGTTATTATAAAGGCCTAATAATAATTGATTTAACGAAACTATTATTCATAATTTATTTAAATATACAATTTTTATTAATTACTAAATAAGTTGTAGAATAATTATTAATAATAAGATCGTAGATACCACAAAAGATTAAATTTGATATATTGCAGAGGAGTTGTTATAAAAAACCGATTGATAATTGATTAATAAAAATTTATAGTTCCTAATTTAATAAATTTGGATTAAACTTTTTCTGAAAAAGACCAACATAAACTTTTACATGGACCAAATTGAGTAAAGAAACACGAAGAAAGAGCCAAAAATAATAACGTCCTTTCACGCGATAACTTTCTCGGAAATGATTTTCTGTCATCGAAACTTTGATATCAAATTATATTAGGGTCAAGGGCTTAGTGGATTGAAAACATCCACATCCTTTCTGATATTACTAAAAACAAAGAGAAATCAATTGCACATAAAGCAAACTACACTCGTAATTTTACTAAAATATCTTAATTCTATTACAATAAAAAAGTCAAAATTATTGATTTAAGTTAGAAAGTTGGTAATATTTATCATTGATGACAGACATTTATCGCTTTTTTCCTATCTTTTGCATATTTAATCTCACATATAATGCGCAGTTGCCAAAATTTAACTGTATAATATTCAAATCTAACTACTCGCTTGGGTATATACAGCTAATTTATAAAAATCTTATTTTAATTGATCATCCCAAGAGTAGCATTAAAATAAATATATATTGCTTTTAAATCGATAAGTAAATTTTTATCAGTAATGAAAACTATTTTATAACATCATGAAAGTTTAAAATATAAAATGATTTTGAAATATTCAGAAAGGTGATCTTGAGCAGCCATAAATTTCTCATATTGCTGACTGGTTTCTCAAAAAAAAAGTTTAAAAAATGCCAAAAAAAAGAAGATAAGCGAAAATTCACCGATAGGTAAATGTCATTGATTTCCCAACTAAATTTCATATTCAATATTCCAGAGCATTTATTATCAAAAACGATCGTTTTACGATCCAACTGGTAATTTCCATAATTTCCTACTCTGTATTCAATCTTTAATTATACATTCGACAGAACATAATCAATTAGGCTTTACAGTTAGATCTCTAAGAAATTTATAAAAGTATAGTAGCATAAACTATCTGTTATTAACGAAAAAACTCAAAAGATTTAAGTATTCTAACCTTTATTTTTTATGTATTTATCGTATAAATTTTTTCTTTATCCGATTGTATTTATCATCGATCTAGTCTTCACTTTCGAGCAACAAATTTCGTTTCGCTAACAAAATAAAAAAAAAATAGAAAAAAAGAGTATTTCGCGACGAGGAAAAAAGGTATCACTTGGAAAAACTTCCGTCTTCTATCTGACTTCATTTCCCTAGGTCATAAAACCAATGTGATCAAGAAAAGTGTTCGGAGCCACGATAAGCCATCTATCTTCTTTATGCCCCCCTTCGGGCTGTCTATCGACTTGGTACCCGACCATTATGTGGATCAGTAAATCTTGTGTCAGCTGGTAGACAGTGGGAAAAGCGCAAAGAGTTTCTAAGAAATCAATCCGAATGAGTAGGAACACGTAACTTAGACTGATGCCAGCTTAACACGGAGTTTCCGGACTCATCGAGCTCCTAACACGTGCTCAAGTGGCGAAATATGATCGATTGTCAAGTACCTGCAGCTCCGAGACTCTACAGACAGCAAAGTTATCTAGTATTCGTTAGATAGGCAAGATAGATGAGAAGACCGGCCTTCCCTCCGGCTCTACTCTGGCCGAGGTTTATGAAATATCCAACAGCTCCTGGACTGAAGAGATAGATACAGTACAGATCGATTTCCAAGTCCTATTTCCAACACAATCTCTTCGAAACAGAGTTTTTTTTTCTTCTTTCTGTTGCCATTGCTCCAATATTTCTTCATATCTTCAGTTGGAGTGTAAAGAAAATTAGAATGGTTGTACGTCATGCCAAGTTAGTTTGATATTAAATTCCTAAAGTAAACTATATTTCAATCATTTGGATATTTTAGGAATACAGTTCAAAAGAAACCCTATAAATAATATTAAGTTTCGGTATTCAATTTACAGTTTCAATTTCTTACTTCGTGTGGATTATTCGTGCAGGAGAAATCCATAAAAATATTTCATAATATATTTTAACACTTTTATAAATGTTTTTAATTAACCTTAACATTATGAATAAACAAGAGGAACAAACGGAATATTTATCTCGAGAAGAATTTTCTTTATTTTGTATTGTTACGAATATATGTATTACGTGAACTAAATATTTTTCTTAATTTTCTATTATTTATTTATGTTCTGGACCATACAACAACAACATAATTTATGCTTAATTAATTTGATTACGATTGTTAACTGCATTAAGCATGTGTTCTCTTATCTTTCAGCAAAAACTTTAACAGAATTGTAGAGGTGATGAATTAGCAAACTATTTGGCTTGCAATTTGAAAAAATTGTAGACATATAAATTCCCACTGTCGTTGTCTGTCCGTCTGTCTTTCGTAAATCTCGAGAATAAAGTCAGATAGATGACATCCGAGAGCAGATTTGGAACTCGAATGATCAGGAGGTCCTGACTAATTATATGGAATCATCGAACACAAAGTGGAAGTAATATTATTTCAATTCAAAAATTTTCCCTTGAAAGCAGTTAATAGATGACCGGCACGATCCTCTTGTTAAAGGAAAAGTATGATGTACAGGGCAAACCACTACTAATTTAAGGTGAAAAACATATATTTTAAATTAAATAATCTAAAAATATGATTAAAACTTGCAGTCCGACATTGTGACGATTGTGACGACATTGTGATGTCACAAAAATAATTCTTAATTGTTATAATCAGCTTATTTTAAATTATTCCTAATTGAAAACAAAAGTCATTTAAAACTTATACAATATGTCAAATAATGTTATTAGTTTTATATATTAAATAATAGCTAAGTCTTCTACTATATTTTAAAC